ATTTTATATTGTTGTTGATAATAAATTAATTAAAGCAGTAAAACAGGGTGATGCTTCCACTTTTTCATGTCCAGTTTTGCTCCGGAGATCCGCCCATCATGAGGGTGTTCGAGACAAATCTGTTCAAACAGGAAGTGGAGTACGCTGTGCTGGTCCACAGCCCAGCCAATCAGGAGCTCTTCTCAGAGTATCCTTTGTTTCTGTATGATGACCCGAACGCAGTCTGCACTTACAGAGACGGACGTTTCATCTGGAGACCAGAGGCCATGTGTGAGACACACAGGTAAGAATCACACAGGTAAAAATGTTAATGGACTCTCATGAAGTATGTTCACAGCTGTCCACCTCAGAATCAGCTGACCTTTACCAGTAATGGGGACAGGCCACACATTTGATTTTTTGTTGTTATTTTTTTATTTTGTCAGCATTTTTGGTCTCAAACTTCATAAGTCCAGCAGGTGTCCACATGAAGATTTCACAGCTGAAAGACATATTTAAATCTAACCAGCTGTGAGCATCAGTACGATGACACATCACTGTCTGAATAATCCTCAGCAGTTTATTGTCTGTGACGTAGAGGAGCAGAGCTCGGCATCTGATGTGTGATGTCATAAAGTGCATCCTGGGTAAACCTTGAGGCTCAACATGTGGAATAGCTGGCTGATCAGGAAAGGTTGAAGCAGTGTGGGCTGGGCCCCCTGGTGCCCCGCAGTAATAGCAGAAAATAGTTTGAAATGACTCACAAGTATGTACAGTTTATTTATTTAAATAAAAGCTGAATTCAAACTGGTACCAGGTGATTCATTTGTCATTATCTGGCCTAAATTCACTGCTTGATTAGAGCAAAGATTTAAAGTTGAGTGAGCAGTGTGGGATTTTGTGGACGGATATCTCTATGCAATAGTAGTATAATCCCACCTCTCGCCGTATGACAGCTGGGATAGGCTCCAGCGACCCTGATGAGGATAAGTGGACAGAGCATGGGTGGATATGTAATGCAGTATTAAAAACTAATGATAAAACTAATAACCTCTTAAAACATTCATTTAAATACTTGTTTTGACAAATTAGAAAAATCTGATGAAAATGAACGACTTCATTAACAAATTGTTAATTTTCCGTGACTGCTGTTGTTGCTCGTGACGGTTTTAGTGTTGCAGGCTTTAATAAACTGAATGACTGTCTCTCTCTGACCTTCCTCTCAGTTATGCGTTGATCCAAAGACCTGATGAAAACCAGATGACCGCTCAGCCCTGGAGGTGGCCTCCATTTTATGTTTGGGATCATGTCGCACTTGCTCTGCATGTGGAAAACGGACAGGTACCCTCACTCCTCCTCTTCCTCACTCTTCAGAGACACCTGAAACATTTTAGAAGAGGAACTGAGTTTTATTTTGCTTGTTTCATATCCTTGATGCATTATCACCCCATCAAGAGAATCTGCAGCTTGTCTGCTTGATAACAGAAGTTCTTTGGGATTACCTTTAATATTTTAAGCAGATGCAGATAAATAAATGTAGTCCCAGGTGTAGAGTGCACCGGTTGCAGAAGAGAGAAGGATGCGACACTGAGGATGTGGACAAGTGGGTGAAGAATTTGTCTGACAGACAGCTCACCCAAACAGAAAAACATCCTCACTAAAGGGTTGAATTTTGCTGTCACACCGAGACAAATCCTGCTAGTGGAGCTGATCACAGCCACAGAAACAGCAATCCGTAACAACAATATTGCAGAAGTGGAAGCAGAGCAACTACGGACGAAAGTTCCGGCCTGTCTCAACAATGCAAAGCCCCCAGCATCCAACATCACCATGGAGGAGAGGAAGGCACTCACATCACTTAGTGATGACAACAACATTATCATCCTTCCGGCAGACAAGGGTAGGTGCACAGTA